GGGATGGGATGGGATGGGAGGGCTCTGGAGCCGGGAGCGCTGCTGATCTCGGGAAGGGAAGGATGGGATGGGAGGGCTCTGGAGCCGGGAGCGCTGCTGATCTCGGGAAGGGAAGGATGGGATGGGATGGGAGGGCTCTGGAGCCGGGAGCGCTGCTGACGTGCTGCCGGAGCTGCAGTGACTCCGCAATGGCTGAGCCTGCCGGCACTGAGCTCATCCCGCAGCCTGCCGGGGAAACCTGTCCTTAGCTCCTCCGACCGCTCGGATCCGCGCTCGGGCTACGTGGTGAGCACATTTGACTCTACGCTTGCGGGATTTTAGTGTTTTTTGGTTTATTTCCCTTCTCTGTCCTCTCCGTGCTTCCCCGGACCAATCGATGCATCACTCCTCATCTGATGCCACTGTTTAGAGGACAGAGAGGGAAAACAGAAGCATATGCAGCAGGGATGGATTAATTTTTTAGCCTTTTGCAGTGTGGGTCGTAAACATCTCTGTAAATGTGTCAGCTCGGGCAGCCGACAGGTTTTATGTGGAGTGCAGTGCAGGCAGGGGCTCTCTCGGTGTGCAGCAGGAGGGAGTGAGCTTTCTGCCTACCTGTGCTCTTCATTAGCGTCTACCTGGGCTAATGAGCGCCTAACTGTGCTCCTTAATTAGTGCCTGCCTGTGCTTATTAATCAGTGCTTACCTGTGTGATGGATGTATAGAAATGGGCATAATGTGTGACAGACAGACAGACAGATTTGCTGCAGGTGAGCCGTCTGCTGCTAAAGGCTGCGTGGGCTCCATTTGCAGGTGTGTTGTTGGCATTCTGTGTCTGAGGTTTTTTCTCCGGGCTGCTGATAACCACGGCTCTGATTTGCGGAGCTCTGCTCTCGATGCCAGGCAGGGGATGGCTCTGCCTGGCACTGGGGCCCAGCTGCCCCTTCCTGCTCCCTGCGTCCCTCAGGATTTTTCTGTTGGAGTGATGCAGCTGGAATGCCAGGGTCACAGACTGCTGCTGGAGCTCCCCTGCAGGTGCTGGTGGTTGGGGTAACACCCGCCCTGCTGAATTGCTGTGACAAACAATCTGTGTCTGTGCTCCCGAGGAGCTGATTCGGGTATTTCCTGTCTGCTGAACCCTGTGCACGGCTGGCTC